TTTTTCCCTTAATAATAAAAACCTTCATAAAAACTGCATTTTGTGTTTACTTGTGTTATCTTTGTCTAATATTTCAATTTGTTTGATGATCTGAAACATTTCAGTGTGACAAACATGCAAAAAAATAAGAAATCAGGAAGGGGGCAAACACTTTTTCACATCACTGTACATTTCTCTACATCCTCCCTCTCCTGTCTTTGAGGTAGCTTTCTCAAGAAACTCCAGGACTCAGAAGAAACTTAAACAATCCGTCCCCATCAGGAGTTTAGTACAGAAGATGGGAGGGAGAAGCATCTGTGCTAAAGCAAGCGTGAAGGTTAGAGTTTAGCATTTGAATTCAGCAGGAGTTCACAGCTCCAACCATTGTATGGGTACGGGGTAACATACAGATTCTGCTAGCAGACTCCATCAGTATGTAGGAAGCAGTTATATAGAAAAAATCTCTTGATATGGCAGAAAACTTGTACTTAAGCAAAAATTATTTGCTTGTTGCTAAGCTTGAGCTGGCCCCAGATAACACTTTGGCTTTCTTGGCTTCCTTGTGATTAAACTGTGCCAACTTTTCCTCTTAAAATAGAAACCTTTTAAATCCTTAGTCCTATATAGTCATGGAATGACTGTGCCTTTAAGCATTACGTTATGTTTAAAGGATGTTTGTTTTTCGGTATAAAAAGAGCACTGTAACTGCTGAGAAGCTCTGTTGACTGCATGTTGTCAGAGAGGCACACCCAGTGATAAATCCAAATTATTTTTCGACTGCCTTTTTAACTGGTTATTTCTGCTCATCAAAAGGGATCTTTTCATTCTCCTGAGCCTTCACACGTATGTTGTAGTTGTGTTCTTATTTTTTATATCTTGTTCAGAAAAATAATTATTACAGCTATTTGTAAGCTCATATTTGTAAATTGAATCTCACACAATCTATGTGGTTGTAGCTGTTTGGTTGTCTGGCTGTTGTATTAGAATTATTATTTAGAACTAATGTATTTTAAAATAGACATAATAGACATAAGAATAATTGCCCCTCTCTTGCATAAACAATCACTTGAACTGACTGGATTTGCAGGGAGATATAACAGGGGCAAATTTTTTGAGTAATTCAGCTAACTGGGGCATGTCCAGCTGTGAACAGCAAGGCTGTCTAGTGGTCATCTTCACACCAGCAACCCCAGCAACTTGGACCCTTCTACAACTATCAGGTCTGGCTGGTACCTCTGTCTAATTAAGTTTGTTTTTCTTTATAGAAATGAAAATGCGGTCTGGGACTGTGGTATCATGTACAAGTAACTATGATCATTTGATTTTGTCTCTGCATTAAATCATATGCAATACTGGAAAGGTTTCAGCTCATCTGTGTTTTATGTTAAAACTAAGTGTTTATTAGCAAATAAAAAAGATGTATAAACTTATGTAAAACTGAATAAATCCCAAATCAAATGTGTAAATTTTAACCTTTGATTTTAATTTTATTTTTTTTTATTCATGAGCTTCATCCTATTAATATAATTATATTGATTATATTAATATAATTAATTATTTTTGCAAAAGAGTTATTGCCTAGTTAGTGAGGCAGTTTTGGTGAGATTGTCATAAGAAACCAATCCCTTATTTAAGCCTCACAAACAGTTCATCCAGGGCCAATGACTCCTCTCAAGCAGAGCGCTAGGTTACAGTATACAGGTGAGGGTTTAAGCAAGGAGCTGTATCAGTCTGAGGGATGCAGAGGGACAAGAAGAGGTTAATTCCATGCTGTAAAATAGAAAAAGAAACTGCTTTTGCTTTTATTGAAAAATTTAAACCTGAATTTCTCAAATAATTCTTATTTTCATTATGCATATATGTTCTCAGGTACAGATGCACCCATTCAAAATGGGTGAGGTATTTCGCGGCATACCGCTCAGTTGGACAAAAGTACACAACCTACCTTTATCAGAAATATTTATGCATCAAAGCCTTTACTGAAGATATTACTAATAGTATTAATAATGGATGACTTTGGACAAGCTGTATACTCAAAGTATAATTTCTTTAGCACATTTGTACAAGCACTTGGAATCTGTCCAAGCCATACTTTGTCAGGCATTTTGTTTT